GGCTCCACTGTCCAGGCAGCAGAAAATGTTGAAGACAAAGCCCTGGGTTCAGATAGAACCCTGTTCCAATCCTGGCTTATCACTCACTGACTATTTAACCCTGGGCAAAATAGGTACTCCTTCTAAACCTCAGCTTTTTAATCTGTGAAATGGGAAGAACAACAACCCTTGCAAGGCTGCTGAGAAGACTAAGTGAGATTGATAATGTTGGGTTAACTGTCCTAGTCTAGGCGGGTGAAGGGAACAAAGGATCAGTCAGGACCTGTGCTGCTGAGGACCTTTCTGGCTAGTTTCCAGGGGCCAGTCCCTTACCCAGGCTGGCTTTATACTGAGGCACAGAGAGTCACTCCTACATTACCATTTCAGAAAGATGAAAAAGGGATCTATCTCAAATATCTTTGCCACTGATGTCATCAAACCTTTGGCAAGTCGTCTGTTCAAAGTCTTCCCAGGCCTGTCATCATGCTAGGTGCAGATTGCACTCTCTCTGGCTCACCTCTGGAGAGGAATGCCAAGAGTCTTCAGTCCTCAACACCAGAGGCTGAGCTCAGTGTGCAGGGACTTCCACAAGCAGATCTTAAAGTTACTGAGACCCATCCAGCCGAAGTGAATCCCCAAGCCACTGACCAAATGGAAGAAAACCCCACCTTCCCTAAATCTTTTCCCAGGACCACCCAGCTCATTGTCAGCTCTCCTCCTTTGAACTCCTTAAGATTTTACTATTTTTACGACTTATTTGGCCCAAGACAGAGACAATACTTTTTTCAATTAGACTGTCAGCCTCTTGAGGTTGTGGAACCTGCCTGTGAGTTCTCGAAATCAGGTCCTCACTTCATCACTTTAGCCCAGTGCTGATGATCTGCGTGTCTTTCTAAGAGCAAACTTCATTGCTGGTTCACGTTCAATGTTCACAGAAAGTTAGCTGTTGGTCTGCTCCACTTTCTGCTCACATTTCATTGTCCAAGCAAGTCACATGGTCAATAGGGCAGGAATATATCATCTTCCTACCTAAGGTAGACTCAGGGAGGGATGGCAATGATATCAATCAATAATACCACCTTTCACAGGCCCTAAATAGAATTTTGTACAAAGCTGTGGCTCCGTAAATATTTAATTGGGAAGGTAAGACAAAGACAGAAATATTTGAACACATTTTCTGATGTCGTTGTTAGGTCTAAACTAGCCAACCAAATGTTAGGTCTAAACTAGCAATAAATTGAAACAAAATTGGCAATCTGTCCTGAGCATGGTTGAACCATACTAGACAGGTTTAGTTCCCTTGTGGGAATGCTACCATGGTAAGCATAATTAGACTCATACATGATCCCTATGAAAGGCAGGTCTAGTATCAAAGTGTGGGGTGGTATGCTGGGCAGGATGACACACGCCCGTAATCCCAGTGGTTTGGGAGCCTCAGGCAGGAAGATCGCCAGTTCAAAGCCAGCCTCAGAAACTTAGTGAGGCACTAAGCAACTCAGTGAGACC